TTTTGTCATATATATATATATATATATGGGTTTTCAACACATTATCTGACTTCGTATTATGTAGTCTAGGATGCACAATCTTGACATTTATGGCGTCATACGAGAACTATCCAAGTGGATATGCCTTAAAAGCTCTACATAATATGGGTGAGCTCTTTCTCAGATACTTAGAGTACTTAATTAAATTGCTTTCTGCTTTGCTTTTCTTCCCTTTCTCTTACAAAATTAGATCAAGAACTTTAAACACGATACTAACCAGGGAAGAAAAAATAAAATAAAATAAAATAAAAGGATCCCCACTGCAATGTGGCTCATCTTTCTGCTATGTTTCTGCTTCAAATAAACAAATAAGTGATATTATCGCCCATTTTTACATTCAAGTTTTTGAGCATTTAATGTGCACTCCTGTGTTTGGTTTGGACGGGAGTTGCGAGTGCTCGGTTAAAAAATATAAAAAAAATGCAAATTGACGGGATCTTAATAATGTGTTTTACAGGACAATTAAACAATTCAAAAGAAGTATGGGTTCACGTCGACACCTTCTCAGCCATTAATGGGATCTCACGCTTCTGTGAAAATGATGAGCCTTGGCGGTAATTAATGCTGGATAACATTTACCAATTCTTGATTATTGCTGATTTTGATAATATGGATATATTAGTTTATATTAGATAGATTTTGAGCGTTGGTTAGTAATTTGCAGGTACTCGAAAGAAGAAGGGATACCACTGCAAGAGTTTCAGAATAGAAATTTTACGTACCTTTTGAGGTAGTATTTGTTAGGAACCATTTAAAGTTCTAGGCATCTCACGTGTGTTCTAAATCCTCTACAAATTGTTGCAAGTCATTTTACAATTCTAATTTGTTTAAAGATACATCAATCCTGTTAGATCCAACTTTGGATCTTTATATTTCTACTCCCTTTTAGCTTCAAATATTCATTTTTCAGTCTCAAAATAACGGATAGTTTTCTTTCTTTCTTTTGGCTGGTCTTATTTTTATTGTAGTGAGCATGATCTAATCAATGGTTACAAGTGTTTATTTAGCGTCAAGGGATTTTCTGGTCTTCGTTTTAGTGCAGGATATCCTCCAGTACTACTGGTAAGTGGAAAAAGCCATATATCTCGAGTCTTCTTAACTTTATCTGACTTACCTATTAACTTCTCTGTGTACAAACAAACAAACAACAGGTCAAAAGCCCCAAGGTGTTCGTTCATGGAAACACAAAATATGATGAAATATACCGAAGAAGCTGGCCCGGGTGCTGAAGAGGTAAGAGCCGAAAAAGAACTCACAGTTGATGTAAATGAAACTCCCAACTGTGAGATAATAAAAGGGTAAAAGGAAATAACAGCAAAGAAAAAAAAAATAAGGA